AGTCTTTATCATGCTGCAAGGCAACTAAAATACGTGGGTAATGGCTTTCAAACACTTTTTTTGGGCTGTTGCTTCATGGGTTTTCATAGACATGAAAAGAGAACTAGTCAGGATCAATCTAGTCTCCTTTGTGCAGAAGACAATTCCTTTTCCTTTTCCTCTGAAGGGCCTTCTAGATACTCAGCTTCCACTGAGAGCTCTACACCCTGCATCTGCAGAGCTGAGTTCCCTTGCTCACCCCATATAGTTGGGCAGCCCAGCTGTGGTGGAACAAAAAAGAGTTATAATAATAATAATAATAATAATCATTATTATTATTATTTCTGGTTTATTATTATTATTTCTAGTGATGAATGTTCTCTGAGACTGGATGACAGAAACAGAAAAATGTAAAATGAAGGTGAGCTCTTGTAATTGTGCCTGTAATCCTGGATACTGGAGAACTTTGATACACTAGGGTGTGTGTGTGTGTGTGTGTGTGCATGCGCGCGCGTGCTCTCCAGTTTCAACACAAAGCAAATGTTTGTCCAATGAAATACTTTGTTAAAGCCAGACTCCGAACTGGTAGCTTGTGCCTATAATCCTACCTACTCAGGAGGCTGAGGTCTAAGAATCGTAGTTTGAAGCCAGTCCAGGCAGGAAAGGCTATACTAACATATTTATGATTTTTTTTTTGTTGCTTTGTATGTCCCTCCTCCACGGTATAACCCCCGTTTTCACTGTATTTGATGTTGGTACAATTTGTGGAGGGGAAGGGAAAAAACATATTGTTTAAATAGGGATACAGGTGGACCCATTGCAACAATGAGATGTACAAGTCCTTATGTCAAAAACGAACTTTACAACTTTGGCCGGGGTGGCGGGGGAGGGATGGGGAGATGGGAAGGAATGGGAAGGGGAAACAAAGGAGGAGGCAACAATGCTTGATAAGAAATGTACTCATTACCTTGACCATGTAATTGTAACTCCTCTGTACGGCATTTTCACACACACACTCACAAAACTCTCAAAAAACAAAAATAAAATGTGCCTCAGAGGAGTACAATTTCCAGGCCTATAAAAAAAAAAGAATTCTTATCTCCAGTTAACCACTTAAACACCAGAAGTGGAGCTGTGGCTCAAAGTGGTAGAGCACTAGGCTTGAGCAAAAAAAGCTCAGAGACAGTGCATAGACCCTGAGTTCAAGCTCCATGACCAACAAAAACCAGCCAAACAAAAAACCCCTGAGAGCTAGACTGGGCACTGGTGGCTCATGCTTATAATCCTAGCTATTCAGGAAACTGAGATCTGAAGCCAGACTTGGTAAGAAAAGTCCATAAGAGTCTTAATCTCCAACTAACCAGAGAAAGAGCTGGAAGTGGAGCTGTCATTCAAGTGATAGGGCACTAGTGGTGAGCTAAAAAAGATCAGGGCTAGTGTCCAGGCCTTGAGTTCAAGCCCAAGTATCAGCACAAACAACACCAAAACAAAACAAAACAAAAAACCTGGGGGCTAGTGATTGATCAGCACTTTCCCTAATATATACAAGGCCCTGTGTTCCATCAGCATCACAAAAATAGAAAACTATGCAACAGAAATCTTCTCAGTGCTTCTGATCACTGGTAAGAACACTTAAGACATTGTGTAAACCTGCTGGAGTGATAAAACTATGTCTTATTCCTTTGGATTAAATAGTGTTAGAAGCCAGTCTTACATTGGGTGGTTGGCTGATCAGTTTTTCTCCCTTTGTGAAATTCTCCATTTTGTTAAGTTCTCTGCTCTTTTCTTTCCTAGATTTTTGGTACTTTACTGGATATATGGGTCCCATGGACTTTCCTATTCAGGCTGGCTTCAAACCATGATCAGCAGATCTCAGCCTCCTGAGTAGATAGGATTATGGTTGTGAGCCACAGGTCTTCAGCTTAATTCTCTGGTCTTTTGACTCATTCCTCAAGCAGTAGGAGTTAATTGATTATATCTGATATATACCCATTGTATTACTTTACTACAAAAAGAATATTATTTTGGTTATGTATGTCCTTTGAGTCTGAATGATGGAAACAGAGAAATGTCAATGAATCTGGGTGACAGTGGCCCATATCTTTAATTCTACCTACTCAAGGAGGCTGAGATCTGAAGATCAAGGTTTAAAGTCAGAAAGAAAGAAAGAAAGGAAGAGATAAAGAAAGGAAGAAAGAAAGAAAAAAGAAGGAAAAGAAAAGTATAGAAGAGAAAAGAAAAGAAAAATGTCAAGTGCCTTTGCCTGTATTTGATTACAGATATCCTTTGGTGTCTGTAAGGAGTTGGTCTAGGGATCTCCTTAAGTATTGAATGTTTTGATGCTTATCTATCTTATATCATTTGGCTTAGTATTTGCCCAGAACCTACATGTGTGTAGGTCCTCTTGTAACCTTTATATCACCTCCACATAATGTACAATACTTAATAATGAAGTCAATGCTGTGGAAATAGTTATGTCATATTGTTCAGAGCATAATGACAGATAATAACAGTTACGTATAGATACAACTGTATTTCCAGTATTTTTGCTCTGCCATGGCTACCATGGTAGCACAACCTGTGGATATAGGATAATTTTTTAAAAATTTATTTAAGGTTCTGGGTGGACAAGGACATTAAAAAAAGTCTCGGGGCTGGGAAGGTGGCTCAGTGGTAGAGTGCTTGCCTTGCATGCCAGAGGCCCTGGGTTCGATTCCTCAGCACCACATAAGCAAAAAGAAAAAAAGCTGGAAGTGGCACTGTGGCTCAAGTGTTAGAGCACTAGCCTTGAGCTGAAGAGCTGAGGGACAGCGCCCAGGCCCAGAGTTCAGGCCCCATGACCGGACCCCCCCAAAAAAATAAATAAATAAAAAATAAAAAAAGTCTCTCTCTCTCTCTCTCTCTCTCTCTCTCTCTCTCTGTGTGTGTGTGTGTGTGTGTGTGTGCGCGCGCGCGCGCGTGCGCCAGTCTTGGAGCTTGAACTCAGGCTTTACACTCTCACTTGGCTTTTTTCATTTATGCTAGCTCTCTACCACTCTTGGGCCACATTTCCACTTCTGGCTTTTTTGAGGTTAATTCGCGATAAGAGTGTTATAGACTTTTCTATAACACTTGGTTCAGGCTGTGATCCTTAGATCTCAGCCTCCTGAGTACCTAGGATTACAGGCATGAGCTACCACTGTCTAGCTCTTTTGTTTATATTTTAAAAGAAGGTACTGATTTAAAAAGTTTTAACTGAGTAATAATAAAAGCAAAAAAAAAAAAGCAAAGCCATCCCATTGCCTTATATTTCCAGGCACCAGCTTCAATGTACAGGTTCTGCCAGGAGTAAAATCCTAGCTGTGAGAAGTGATATAAATGTTATTCGTTCCTGGTCATTTCTGCCCCTGTGTAAAGCAACCACAGGAGCCCCAGGCTGTGAGGTTTACATGGGACCCCACTTTCATCAGCTTAGCTGGAGGGGAAGAAGAAGAAGACAGGGAACCTGTTTTGTGGTAGGGATTTAAGACTAAGCTTAGCTTTCCTCTTATATCTGTATAGATGAGATTTCCCAAATCATGGCGCTCTGCTGTTGAAATTCAGGAAAGGAGGAGGGCCAGGATATTTGTCTTTATTGTATTCTGGAAGATTTATTCTATCATAACAGCATGCATGGTGGTTATCTCTGCCTATCCATACACTGTGTGTTGGTGGGTTCAACCAGCCCTGGACAAAAAAAAAACTGTTACATCTGTCTTTAACATATATCAACATTATTCTTGTCTTCATTCTTTAGATAATACAGTGGAACAACTGCTCACACATCATCAGGTATGATAGGTAGTCTAGAAATTATGTAAAGTATACAGAAAGATGTGCCTGGGTTCTAGGCAGATTTGACATCATTTTTACAAAAATAAGGGATTTGAGAATCTACAGGTCTTATTATCTGTGGGACAGGGAGGATTGGGGTCTCAGAACCAGTTCCTTGGGTACACTCAAGGATGACTATATTAACATGTAGTTGGGGGTTATCTGTCTCAGAATTCTTCCATGATGAGCTGGGTACCTATGGCTCATGCCTGTAATCCTAGCTACTCAGGAGGCTGAGATCTGAAGATCTTTGTTCCAAGCCAGCTTGGTGAAAGAAAGTCAGTGACACTCTTTTCTTTCCAATTAGCCACCAAAAAGCTGAAAGTGGAGCTGTGGCTCAAATGATAGAGTACCAGGTAAAGCTGGCAGGTCCTGAGTTTAAGCCCCAGTACTGGTGCAAAAGAAAGAAAAAAATCACAAATTAGAGTTGCACAGATTTTGCAAAGTGCTTGGAAGTAGTCAAAAATTATGTATGTATGTATGTATGTATGCATGTATCTATCCATCTATCTATCTATCTGTCTATCTGTCTATCTATCTCTCAGTCATCAGTCTTACAGGTTGAACATCCTTAATCTGAAGATAAGAACTCTGAAGTATCTTTAGTCTCTTGAATTTTTGAGCACCAACCTTATGCCTCAAGTGGAAATTCCACAAATGAATTTTTTTGTGTGAAAAATATATCATTCTATCCATATATCTATTCCAAAATCTGGCCATGAGCTCGTGGTGGCTTAGGCCTGTAATCCAAGCTACTCAGAGGCTATCAGAGGATCATGTTTCAAAACCAGCCCAGGTAGAAAAGTCCATGAGACTCTTATTTTCAATTAACCAGAAAAAAAAATGCTGGAAGTGGGATTGTGGCTCAATTGTTGGAAAGTCATCCTTGAGAGAAAAAGCCAAATGAAAGCTCAAAGTTCTGAGCTTGAACCCCTTTTCTGATACAAAATAGATGATAGATAATAGACAGACAAACAGATGGATAGACAGATACATAGATATTCCAAAATCTGAAAAAATAAAATCCAAAACACTTCTGCACCCAAACATTCAGGATAAGGAACACTGAACTTTCCCCATGTTATAATAGAATGTAACTGATCTTTTAATACAGAAAGTAATTAACTTTGCAATGCATTAATTTTCCTTATTTTTTCTCTTTTAAACAGGAAAAACTAACCCAAGAGTGCGTATTCAGAGAACAGTTTGAAGAAAACTGGTATAACACATACTCCTCAAACCTATATAAACATGCGGACACTGGAAGACGATACTATGTTGCATTAAATAAAGATGGAACTCCAAGAGAAGGGACCAGGACTAAAAGACACCAGAAATTCACACATTTTTTACCTAGACCAGTGGACCCGGACAAAGTACCTGAACTATATAAGGATATTCTAAGCCAAAGTTGACAAAAGACAATTTCTTCACTTGAGCCCTTAAGAAAAAAAAAAAAAAAGTAACCACTCTATAAAATGATTTCATGCGGTGGGTTCTCATTGATTAGCTGTGTTATCTCCTGGCTCCACTGTTGCCAAACTTTGTCGCATGCATAATGTATGATGGAAGCTTGAATGGGAACATGCTGATTTTGTTCTGCACTTAAAAGGTGAGTCCTCTCTGAGGGCTGCCTGGGGCCACTTGCTTGATTTATTTGTGAAAGGTGAGAGAGAAGGAGAGAGGAGAATGGGAGAGGGAGAGGATGGGAGAGAGATTGGGAGAGAGTAGCAGGGCAAATCAAAGACCCCAGAGAACAGAGACGACGCCTGATGCATGCTGGGAAATAGACACGCTTTTCCATTTTTGATCAGCTGAACTCCATCGTCCATCAGCACAGCTGCCATACTTCAACTCATCAGGATATTTTGGCTGGTAGCCTGACGTTTAAGGGTACACTGCGTTTTCAGAGGCATGGAGGGTGCAGTCTTACTTATAAAAAACGAAAAACAAAAACACACACACAAAAAACTTTTTCAGTTAATTCTCACTGGTAGCATCCCAGTGAACTTAAAAGCAAAGACCTCTTAGTTTAAAAAAAAAATAAAAAATAAAAAGAAGAAAAAAAAGGAAGAAAAAAAAGGAAGAAAAAAAAGAGGAAAAAAAGAGAAAAAAGTTAAATTTATTTATAGAAATTCCAAAGGTGACATTTTATTTATTTTATATATTTATTTATTATATAGAGTTTATTTTTAATGAAATATGTACAGGCCAGATAGGCATTTTGGAAGCTTTAGGCTGTGTAAGCATTAAATGGTTAAGTCTGCTATGAACCTGTGGTAAATTCATGCAAGTAGGTATCACGGTGCATGGATATGAGAAATTTCTAATGACCCTAATGTACTAAAGGCGACAATCTATTTTGTGCCCATATTATTGTAAACTTATGCACTTGCTCATGACACTGAGTCTTCACTCTTCAGACTGCTTGTTTCATAGCTTATCCCAGAGGATTAAAGATAAAACTGGGTCTCAACCTTTTATTCTGTGTCTGTAATTTTCCTCTCTCTTAAGTGATTTGTATTACTGTAGTTTCATGGTTGGAAAATATGAGGGATGGTATATGTCTTATTTGTCTCAATCTATCACAGAATATACCAAAGCTAAACAATAACTTTGCTTCTTATTTAACCCATCTCCAGAACAATGAGACTGACATCAAACATCCTGCTGATTTAGAATCCTCAAAAAGAAGGAAAAAACAAAAGCTTACATAGCACTGACTTTTTATTATTTTTTTAAGAGACAAGATTTGGATTAACAGGAGCATTCTTGTAAACTTTTTATTTGTGCACTTAGTCATCAGATTTGAAATCATACAAGTATCATAGGAGATCATTGTAACATCTTTTATAGAGAATTGCTTCAGGGTGACCTGTCATAATTATGTGGTAATGACACCCTTTAAGTTAAATTTTCATCATGAAACCAATAAACCTTTATCAATAATGACTTTGAGGGGCCAAACATTGTAATCATTGACTGTGTTTTGTTTTGTAAAATAGTCTTCAAAACTGCTCAACTTTTTTTTAAGAGGGAAACTTACTACTATCTAGGATATCTTTTACAAGCTTTTATAACATATTATGCTGAAAAGCATAAGAATACATACTCCTTTGGTAGCAATAATTTTGGAACTTGCCCTTGGGTGAGGGAGACTATTTCTTACTATCTACTAATGTGCAAAGAGCCAAAATTCTTAAAGCAATATTTAAGGGGAGTGGGGGGAGGGAAGCAATTTATATAACAAATTCTTCATCCATACATCACACTTTCTAGCCAATGGCATTAGAATATTAAAAAATGACAGTTAAAAATATGTTGGGCTTTATGTAACTAATTAAAAAATTCAATGTTCTAGTTTTGTTTTGCTCAGATGCACATTCTCTATGAAAAATAAACATGTCAGTAGCAAGTTAAAGCTTTTGAGGAATGAGAGATGCATAACTTACATTGTGAGCAGACACACATAGCTTCTATATTTCACATAAGAGTGCGTGGTAATACCCTCCTACTGTTGTGTGTTGAGGAAAAAAAGGAAATAATATTTGGAATTGAAAATTACAGAAGCACTGTAAAATGGTGGTTTATGATAGAATATTGAAAAGTCCTTTTCATTGTATTTTCTTGGGATTTTTTTCCCCTTTCAGTTTTCTAAACAGAAACCCACTTAATTCTAAGTAGTATTCTTATTTATTATCTATTTGCTGCTGCTAAAATATGCACATATTCAGACTTTCATTTTTTTCAAATGACATTTAATTTTTGTTTTCTGGCTAAAAACAAAAAAGATTAAATCTTTGACCACAAGGGGAGAAGAAACAAGTTTCTAGGATGTCATAGGACTAATACTTATCACTGAAGAAATTGATTTTGGAAGACAGCCAAAAGTAATCTTAAAGTAACATGAGACTCCAGATAATTAGCCTTAAAGAATGAGAGAATTGTGAAAAACAAAACAAAAACTCCCTCAAATCTCCATGCATTCCTAAAAAAATGCTACTTTAATGTCTACTTTTGGAGTTATTTTGTTTTTGGTAATTTTATTTCTTAAAGGAAAGCAAAATGTTATATGCTTTTGGCAAACGGATACAATAAACTGTAATGGTCTGTAAATAAATAAACATTGACTTATGCAATTGATGTAAATAGGTGTTCTGGGAGAAGAAGATGGCTCAGGGTTTCTGTGTGTGCATGGTCTTGTTGAGCAGTAGTTACCCCCAGCTCTGGGTATGCATCCGGTTCTTGTCATAAGAGACCCCCAAGCTCGTTGGATGGCAGCCCAGAGCCCCCCTGTGGAATGGGTGGTTCCATTTTCACAAACAGATGCTCACATAGCCAAACCACCCTCTTGTTGGTGCCAACTCCGACACCTTGGTCAAAGACTTAACCCTGCATGGATGGAAAGGAACCACCTCTCCATCTGTCATGCAAACGTCCCCTAGCAGTGTTGAAGGACATGCCAGGTCAGCATTTGGGGAACTGCCCTGCCAGGTCCTGTTTTGTAGATAAAGGAATGGTGATTTCATTCTATTTCATCTCGTTAACACGATGACAATGACCTTGTGTTATTTACTTGATAAACTGTAATTGTATGTAAATACATACAGGATAATGTAATTTGTGTAAATACATAATTACAGACTTTTTGAAAACTGGCATTTTTTTTTCACTTGATGTCCATCTTGGAGCGGTTGCAGATTCTGTGCCTACATAACCAAACAGGATTTAAAAAACACACACTCCTTGTTCTTACAGCTGTGTGTGTTTGTGGATGGGTGGGTCGGGGGGGAGGTTGGAGGGGAGGAGCAAATGTAGGCAGATGTCTTTTCTGTAAAGAAAATGAAGAAGCAAGTGATTTTCTGGGATGAAAATTTACGGACTTGAAGCAAGCAAATCACACTGTATTTTTTTTTTTTTTTTTGCGCATTTACTCAAATGGGCGAATGAACAAAGGCATAGTGTTCGAGGTCAAATTCTATTTAGTGCATCACTTGACATTGAAATGTGCCAAATATAGATGCACTGTTCGTGGCCACTTGCACGAAAGAGCTGTGGAGGGTGGGAGGAGGAGGGGCAATATGCCAGATGGAGTCAAAAAATGAATTAGCCATCAGGCCCCTCCCACGTGGCTGTTTATGTGTGGTCCATGCACTCCTAGAATACTCTCATGCATCTGGAGATATTTCCATTTTTAAACTGATATTTTATTCTTACAAATAGAATAGGGGAGGAATTGTAACAACAAATAGCCTCTATCTCTTTCAATACCCAGCCTAAAATTCAAGAAGCCGAGATTGTAGAATGGATCATGGGTACAGAAAGATTGGCTGGAAAATGTATGAATGGGAGCTTGAAAGGTTATTTTTCTCCCCATATTGGACAACAGAAATTCATTTTATACTACTGTTATTATTAATGCATAGCCATAAAATTTATACAGTGAGGGATGGATTTCCTCTATTTTTGAAAGAAATGCTGTTTCAAAATAGACAAATTTTCTTTTTGCTAGAACTGGGGCTTGAACTCAGGGCAACACACTCTTGTTGGCATTTTTGTTCATGATTGGTGCTTTGCCACTTGAACCATGTCTTTAGTCCAGCATTTTGCTGGTTAATTGACTATGGGAGTCTTGTAGACTTTTCTGCCTGGACTGGATTTGAACTGTCACCCTCTACATCTCAACCTCCTGAATAGCTGTGATTACAGACATGAGCCACCAGCACCTGGCAGAAGACAAGTGTTCTTAATGTGTTTTCCCCTTCTTCCATAACCTCCTGCAGCTGCAGACATCAGATTGCTGGACAGACAGCTGGATCTTAGGTCAGACAATTTTTGTGAGGTTTCTTTGTTAGTTTGATTATTCTTAAGAAAATTCTGACTTCACATTTTTATTGGACTCCAACTGTACCTCAGCTTATCCTGAGCAAAACATTTTTAAATTAAAAAATTAATTTGGGTTTGTTGTGGGGCTTGAATTGGGGGGCTTGGGTGTTGTCCCTGAGCTCTTTTTGCTCAAGGCTAGTGCTCTATCACTTTGAGCCACAGCACCACTTCTGGTTTTCTGGTGGTTCATTAGAGATAAAAATCTCATGGATTTTCCCGCCTGGGCTGGCTTTGAACCATGATCCTCAGATTTTGGCTTCCTGAGTAGCTAGGAATACAGGTATAAGCCACCAATGCCTGGCTAACTTTTAATTTTAAATAAAAAAATTCTTCATTTTTTTCTCCTTTTGGTGCGTCATCTCTATAATCCTAGTTGCTCAAGAGGTTGAGATGTGAGTATTGTAGTTCAAAGCCAGCCCTGGCAGGAAAGTCTGTGTGACTCATCTCCAGTTAGTGAAAAACCAGAAGTGAGCTGTGTCTCAAGTGATAGTGTGCTGGCCTTGAGCAAAAAAGCTCAGGGACAGCACTGAGTTCAAGCCCCAGAACACACATACACATAC